CTTTGAAATATTCCTCCTGATATCTGTTGCTTTTGCAGGCTTCTTCATTTTTATATTCTACTGTGTTGCAAAGGAAAATGTCCGCAAACAGTGGAGACGATATCTGTGTTGTGGGAAATTCAGGCTGGCTGAAAATTCTGGTAAATATAAATACCATAATCCATTCAGTAAATAGAGTCAGTATTAGGTCTCTGTTTTTCTTAGTAAATATTTTTGTTCAATAAATAGCAGAACTAAATTTCCAGAAATACATTGTCCCCTTAAAGCATTATTTGTTTGATGCACAGATACTACAATTAATTTAATTCTGTTACACTGCTGTATAAGATTCATAGTTTTAATGAGATGCTGCATTAGTGGAAGGGTGAACCCTCTGGAAAGAGCCTTTTATATGACTGTGACCTAAATTAAACCTTAAGATCTACTTCTGCTCTCAAAGTCAATGGTAGTTTTACCAATAATTTTTAGTAGAAGCAGAGCAGGGAGTAGGCCTTCCTAATCATCTTTTTGTGTTCTTTAATTGTGCCATTATTGTCCTCTAATAATTACACACATCTTTTATACATTTTAAAATTAGAGGGTAAAATACTTTATTGCAATTACTGGTAATCTTTAATCTAGCTTACAGTCACAAAAGTATGATTTATGACCTTAAGGTATTTCAAAGGAGAAAAATAGACATAGACATTTCCTAACAACATAGTTTTCTATCTAATATACTAAAAGGATCCTTGCAATAATTTAACTTAAAACTGTATTGTTAACTGTAGTCTTGTATTTGTGCCTAGATATACTGCAATATTTTCTGTATGATTTATTTTACCATAGACTGGAGTAGAACTGCCACTAATGGTTTGAAGAAGCAGACTGTAAACCAGGGAGTATCCAGCTCTTCAAATTCCTTGCAATCAAACAGTAACTCCACTAATTCTACCACACTGCTAATGAATAATGATTACTCAGTACATGCAAATAGCAATGGTACGTGTTTCAAAATTTCCTTTCTCAAACTGGATCCTCTTATTTTAAAACAGCATTATGTTCTGTTATCGTTATTTAAAGTGGATAGTAAATCACCTATTTATGAATACAGGATCAAAAAGTTTTAATGTAGTCTTATTAACATAAAATACTTTAATGTATCCAATTTAAATTAATATAAAAATACATGTGAATTGGTGATGTATATGCAAAATCAATTAATCGATTAAATGAGATAGTCAACAGCAGTTCAGGCCATGCTTGTCAGGCAATGATATAACTGGTTTTGGAAAACTTAAATATACACATACACACTTACATTTTTATATTTTAAGTTGTCCACATCCAGTCATATCATTGGCTGATATATATATATATAAGTTTTCCACATCCAGTTATATTGTTGCTTATATATAGTAAAAGCTGTTATCAACAGGGATCCAGGTTTTCTCTGATAAAAAAAATTGCAAATTTTCTGATTAAACCCCTCAAAATTCATGTTTTTCCTTTATTAAAATAAAACACCTATATTATATTTATATTATATTATATATAGAGAGGTATCAGTTGAGAAAAATGTTTTATTGATATATTTATGATTTAAAAGCAATTTGGAAGCCTACCTGTGCCTGAATCAGTATAATAAAATAAATTCTAAATACCTATAATTCTTGGTGTTGGATTTTGGGGTTTTTATCATGGAAAATCAGAGCTCCCCTTGCTCCTTTCACTCACCAGGACACGGGTCCAGCTGCGTGTGTGGCTCCCCTCCATCCCCCCACTGCTTTGTGGCACTGAGCAGCCCTGATATGTCAGTGCCCTGCCCATGCCATTGCCCCTTACTCCCAAGCCACAGCCCCGCAGCTATGCTGGTGCTTCTCACTCCCCACCCACAGGCTCCCAGCCCTGCCCTCCGCCTCACTCCCATTCACAGCCCCCTGGGCCTCACTCCCCACCCCCCCAGCCCTGCCTGAGGGGGCCCCCAGCTGCCAGGGCTCTGGGGCCAGGAACCTGGGTCCACAGCCCACTGCCCCTTGCAGCAGTGCTCAAGCCCCGACTGCTACATGTGGGAGGTGGCCGGTGTGGCAGAGTGGAGTGAGGAGCCCGGCTCCCCATCCTCCATGGACGGCATAACTGAAGCAGAGCCCACTGCCCCCATTGGGGAGCAGATGAGGCCTTCCTGCTCTAATCCTCATGCACTGCCCCAAGCTGGGCAGCAGCCCACACCCTGCTCAACTCCCTCCTTCTCTCACTATGGGGACCTCAATCCACCCCCCAGCACCACAACTTCCTGCGAGGAGCTGCTGTCCAGGCTGCCTGGCTGCCTTGTGCGTGTGTATGTGCACACATGCACATGGTGCCCTCTGCCTGATTGCCCTCCTCCCACTTTCCCCAGCCCCATGATACTGCCAGCCTGCAAGGGGAAACCCACCATTTCCCATGTTTTTCTCCTTAAAATGAGAAAATCTGGGGTTTACCGCATTTTGCCATGTCAAACAGAAAACCTGGATCCATGGTTATCACTTACTCAAGAAAATAATAGTTGCAGAGGAAAGAAATGTGATGATGTCCAATATAAAAACAGTTTAGAAAACCATATAGGAGTTTTTTCTCCCCTTAATGTGCGAAGGCTATATCCAAAGAACACCAGCTATCACTAACAGGATGCTTACAGGTAAACCTCTCATGTGGAGGAGGAGAGCAAGGAAGGGAAAGTGTAAGAATAGCTCACTGAAGAGGTCCTACTCAGAGAGCTGCTTCGATATTTCAAGTTAGTCTAAATAAAAAAAATGCAAAAACTTTGCTTTGAAGCATTTGCTTTGTCCTGTTACATTACAGTATCGCTCATTGTGGTGCAAAACATTTGGTTCACTTTTGTTTGTGCTTTGGATTTAGATATCAATGTTAAAGTTAAAGTACATCAACTGTTGTTTGACTAATAGGAGAAATGGGTATTAGAGAAAGGGGCTAACTGTGTAAGTTGGGCTAGAAGGCCTTTACACAGTCTGGGCAAAATTCTGTTCTTAGATACTTGCATTCCCTAATTAATTTAAAAAAATCCTATTTAAAAACCATGGTAAGGAGAAGAATTGTGAAATGCACTCTAGACCAACACGGCTACAATCAACAACTGTGAAACTCACTATACTGATTGAAAATGTTAAGTACCGCCAGGGACTTTTCATTCTGAGTTCTCTTTGACTTGTTTTCATTTTTGCAGGCCATCTCCCCAGCGAGAAGAATGGTGTTTCTTTCAATGTACAGAATGGTGATGTGCGTCTTCATGATTTTTCAGGAAAACAGCTTGTATTTTATGAGAAGGATGAAACAGACAACAAAAACAGCCGTATCTCACTCAGAAGGACTTCAAAGAGGGGAAGCCTACATTTTATTGAGAGAATGTGATGATTTTCAAAAGCACATTGTTTTACAGAGTGAAGTACAGATAACTTTAACTGATTTACATAATGTGAGAAGATCAGAAACTGATTTTATTTAATATATGGTACTGAAGCTTCAAGGCAGCCATAACTTGGATTTACAAGGACAGTTATTTAAAAATCAGTGCTACATTTTGACAAGGTACTTCAGATGCTGCATTTTAAGTGGCATAATTTCCAGTTTAATTCTTTCTTGTTTTTTAAAGATTTAAAGACAAGTTTGATTTTTAGACTGACTTTGTCAGTATAACTATGATAATATACCTGAATACAATACATAGTAATATTGTACAAATGTAGGTAAGCACAAGCTAAACTTAAGAAGATCTTAAGTTTTCTCTCAACATGTTAATTACTACTTCAACCTTTTTATAGGTTAGAGTTGCTAACTTTATAACAATGTATATAAGCAGAACAATATCTGCCTTTCAGTGTCTGAATGCTATTTTTAATATTTATTTCTTGGAATATAAAATGAAATATTCCTTTTGTATAGAAAAATAATTGATATTTGTTTTAACTTTGTTCTAGTTCAGAATGTTGGTAAAGTTAATTAGTTCAATTAACTTCCTATTTTATCCTATCTTATATCTTTAGAGATAATTTGTTCAGTATGTGAAATACTTTACAGTGGTTAAAGTGTAAAGACATTCATGAGACAGAACAATAAATAGGAATGCTGTCACAGCTGAACCACTGGCTGCCTGTTTCTGAGAATACAGAGGGTGGGGATCTTCTCAAAGTAAAATGCTTTGCAAGGAGTGATGTTATAAAATAGGCAATAGGCTATTGGATGTATAGCTAGAGTAAAATCCTGGCCTTATTGAAATTGATAGGAATTTTGCTATTGGTTTCAGTGGGGTCAAGTTTTCCCCCTTACTGAGCGCTGCAGAGATAAATACACTGCCATTTTTCAGCTGCAATGTTTAATAGAAAAGTAGAATATTCATTTTTTTAAAAGAAAAAATAATGGTAAGAAAAAAATTCTAACTCCTATTCTTGAGCGGCCACAACAATTGTCTGTTTCATTAATTAATTTTCATAAAATGTCAATTCCTGAGCTATAATGAGTATTTCTACTTGATTTTTGTTCTGTGTTTTATTAACCAAATCTTAAGGGCCTTATTCAGTACCTACTCAGGCCAAACTTCCCTCAACTTTCAGCTTGATAAAGATATAGATGCATTTGGGGAGGCCTCTGGTCAGGGGGTGCAAGAACTTCCACCAGTTAGTTTCCATAGTAGTCCCTCTAAAAGGGATCGCTCAGACTATGTCCACAGAGCACAACATAGTGTCACACAGAGATAATTGCACTAATGCCAAAAGGGTCTCAGCAAGATGTATTAGCTTGGGCTGAGCAGTATGCTAGTGCAGCTATACTACTTCAGTACCCTAGTGGGCTTGTTCAGAGCTGGCTCTGAACATCTGTCTCTACATGGCATTACACTGTGGTCATTCTGGCTTTCTTTAAAGGAACAGCAGATATTGTACATTCTTGGAAGGCAGCTCACTGTGAGCAGTCTTGAAGCAATCCCGTAAGTGCTGTTGAGCACTGGCATCACCAGATTTGAGGATCTGTTTGCCCTGCCACAATTGAACCTTACCATTCTCATAAGGGTCCAGCCCTTCTGTGTTTTTTATGCAATAAATGCATTCTGTTTGTCATCCTGCCCCTAATACTAACCTAAATAAATTTTTGCAGCAACTGTTTGAAGTATTTGTTTAATTTATTCACAAAGTTTGTAACTGCATATTGGCCACATGTAAATGATGAAGATACCAAAATACAACACTAATAATCCTTGATGGATTTCCATGAATGCTTTTTTCATTTGGGTAGTTGCCTTTTCACTGTTTCTTATACATTTATTTAATTGTCTAGTATTTATGTTTTCAAATGTCAAAAATAAAAAAATTATAGTAATATGCATATGACGTAGAACTTTTTCACAACTTCAAATTGCAGATTTATCTATCCACTCACAATTCTTAAAACAATGGGATTTAAAATAAATATTCTTTTCAGGGAAATGCTATCATGCTATCTTCTAATTAACACACATTGGAGCAGATGTCCAGCACGTGTATAGGTGTCCATGATGATCTCCCCAGTTCCACCAACAGTAACAATGTAGTTTACTCAAAAACTTCTGGTAATCAGGATTTGGAATGGATTTGAAAAGCTGTCCACCAAGGTCATCTTGCTTGGCAGTTCTTCCAAATTGAACAAAAGTAATTCTCCCCTTTGATAGTTATGTCTGCACAATTCCAAAGAAAAACTGCTTTTTATTCAGGTTAGCATTATAATGCCCAGAAATAACCCTACTTGTTTTGTCCTAAACTACTTTTTCTCTTGGAAAAAAAAGTCAGGTGGCTATGGTGGAGGTAAAAATATTTGCCTCTGCTGCCACAGCACAAAGTAGGGGAAAGGTAACTGCTTGAAAGCCTAGCTGAAGATACTGCAACTCATTAGTTGCCTGAGCAGGAGAGAAGGCCTGCAGTGGAAAACAAACAAGAGAGTTTTTAGTTCTGTAGTAATAAATGGATGACTGCCACAAAATTATTTAACATCTATACTGTTGTACCTTTGCAGCTGCGTGATATATTATATTGCTCAAAAATGAAAAGACTCCTTGCTTAATGCTGAATATGCCCCTTGAGTCAAGAATTCATACGCCTGAGTCAGGAATTCCTAAAATGCTATTAATTGTCCTGGTATTCTTACGATGCGTGCTTTAAAATATATAGATGTATGCAACTAAGCCAATACAGTGCTGGATTAAGAACCGAGAAACAGCAGAGCACAAACTTGCAACTACACTTTTAACCTTATAATTTTATCAATATACCAAAACATTCAGATGGGTCAGTGCTGTTACATGTTAACATTTAGCAGCTGCTGTACATAAATGTAGTAGATCAGTAGGAACAAAGCCATCAGATCTGTACTTGAAACTACTAGGCTGGGACCTTATCAGAGAAAGTGCCTGGTTGTTAATAAACGGAACTCTCTTCTTCTTTTGTTGTGTAAAACTAATAGGGGCAGTAGTTTGCCATGCTCCTTCCAGCTTGTGTCTCAAAGCATAACTGAACAGCAGCCTGGCATATAATGCAAGGATATCTAAGCTAGTTTTTAAAATAATCTAGCTGTGGTACTGGAAACCGTCCATGAGTGACAGCATGGAACGTAGCAGGAGCTGAGTCTGCAGTGAAAACATTCCATTATGTTAAGTATATGACAGCTACTAGTGACATTTATGTGCACGCAGCATGTGAAGACACTGTCACATGGGTCTTGCCTGCCGGGTAGACACAGAAGCATTGAGTTCAGCACAAAGTTCCAAAACCCTGTAAGTACTTGGGTGGTCAGGCTGTATTAAGCTACTACAGTGTCACACCTAGTTCAAAAACACCTATGCAAGACTTCATCATTAGGTTTAGGAAACAATGGGACCAACTGGCACCATCCCACTCATCAGATCTGCTCCCTCTAAGAATCACTATACTGCTCCATTACAGCTCCAAGGAGTGCTGTGGTGAGACATGTCATAGGTTTCTGTAAGCGCTACATCCAGAATTGAAAGCTGTAGAGCTGTCTGAAGTAGAGTGCTCCAGCTAGGGTAACTAGCTTTGCTACTTCAAGAGCTAGTTAGGGCATTTCTGCACGGGGCTGCCTTGCATGGTGTAGCAATGCACCAAGTCTATGCTACTTCAAGTCTTGTCTTCTGATGTGTGTGACAAAGAAATCAATGTGTACTATCTCTATTCTCATTAGCATGATAGTAGGGATTCTCAACCAGGGTGTAGCAGGACCACTGAGAACAGAGTAACCCTGAGTATTCAAACTGTTAGGTGTGCAAGCACCAATATATGATTCATAAGACAAAACCAGAGATTTCAAATAGAACTCCATTCTCCTCTCTTCTTGAAGACCCCCGAGGTAGGGGAGAGCACCACCTCCCTTGGAAGCCCATTCCAGATTCTGGAAACCCTTACTGTGAAGAAGTTCTTCCTAATGTCCAACCTAAATTTGCTCTCCATCAGTTTGTGACCATTGTTCCAAGTTACTCCAGGGGGTGTCCTAGTAAATAGAGCATCTTCTATTCCCCTGATAAATTTATAGGCAGGCACAAGATCACCTCTCAGCCTTCTCTTGAGAGGGCTGAAGAAATCTAGGTCCCTCAGTCTCTCCTTGTAGGGCCTTGCCTGCAGGCCTTTGACCATCCAAGTGGACCTCCTCTAAACCCTCTCAAACTTATCCGCATCCCTCTTTAGGAAGTTCAGTGCCCAAAACTGGATGCAGTACTCCAACTGCGGCCTGACCAGTGCCGCATAGAGGCGAAGCATACCCTCCCTAGACCTGTTCATCATGCATCTGCTAATTCATGATAAAGTGCAGTTATCCTTGTTGATCACTTAGTCACATTGATGACTCATGTTCATCTTAGAGTCAGTTATGACTCCAAGATCCCTTTCCACTGCTGAGAAGGTCATCCCCCAGCCTGTAAGTGTGTTGGTGGTTCTTTTTGCCTAGGTGCAGCACTTTGCACTTGTCTTTGTTGAACTGCACCCTATTTCGTTCTGTCCATTTTTCCAACCTGTCCAGATCTGCCTGGATCCGTTTCCTACCCTCTGGTGTGTTAACTTTGCCCCATAATTTGGTATCATCTGTGAACTTGGACAAGGGTGTAGAAAGCACCCTGTCCCAGTCACAGATGAAGACACTGAATAGCACCGGTCTAAGGACCAAGCCTTGCATGGCTCCACTGCCCACATATTTCCAGGTTGATATCAACCTGTCTACCACCACTCTCTGGGTGTGACTGCCCAACCCAATTTGCCACCCATCTGACCATGTAATCATCTACATCACAGCCTGTCAGTTTTTTTATGAGAACAGAATGAGCTACTATATCGAAGGCCTTCTTAAAGTCTAGGTAGATGACAACTACCTCGACTCCTGCATCTAAGCATTTTGTGACTTGGTCATAAAAAGAAACAAGCTTAGTCAGGCAGGATCTACCTGCAATGAATCCATGCTGATTTCCTTTCAGCATTATTTCCCCTGCTGGGCTCCCACAAATGTGATCTTTAATGATTTTTTCCAGAGTTTTCCCAAGGATAGAGGTAAGACTAACTAGCCTATAGTTTCCTGGTTCCTCCCTCCTCCCCTTCTTGAAAATAGGGACCGCATTGGCCATTTTACAGTCCTCTGGGGCCTGACCAGAGCACCATGAGTGCTCGAACAGCCATGCCAGTGGCTCTGCTATAGCACTGGCCAATTCCTTCAGCACCCTTGGATGATGTTTATCCAGGCCTGCTGATCTGAACACATCCAGCTCCTCCAAGTGCCCCTTCACTAAGGCTGCACCAACAGTTGCTGGGCTGGTGTCCCTCCTGTGTCTATGTATGATCCAACTGGGAGATTTTTCTTGGCCTGTGTCTAGGAATACAGATGCAAAGAACTCACTGCTCTGACCCCCCTCTCTGTCACCAGGTGCCCTAGTTTGTCCTATAGGGGTCCTATGCTACCCAGTGCCTTCCTTTTGCTCCCTATATACCTGAAGAACTTTTTGTTGTCCTTAATTTTTGTCGCCAGCCTAAGTTGTAATCCTGCTTTGGCCTTCCTAACTGATTCCCTGCAAGTGTGAGTCAGGGAGGTATACTCCTCCTTGGTAGCTACCCCCTGTGGAAACAGGGGGCAGCTACCAAGGAGGAGTATACCTCCCTGGTTTCTTGGCCCTTTTGCCCCCTTTTATGCGCAATGGGATTGTCTCCTTCTGTGCCCATAGGATCACTCCCTTGAGGAACGACCACCCTTTCTGGACCCCCATTTCGCCAATGCTCTTGAGCTTTAACACCTCACTAACTAATCTCCTGAGCACACTGAAGTTAGCCTTTCTGAAGTCTAGCACTTCAGCCCTGCTGGCTACTTTACCCACCCTTTGCCGGATAGTGAATTCAATCAATCGATGGTCACTATCCCCTAGCTTACCTTGCACCTGCAGATTCCTCACCAGGTCATCCCCTGTAGCTAACACCAAGTCCAGCAAGGTATTACCCCTAGTGGGGTCGTATACCTCCTGTGTTAGGTGGAGGCCCTGTATGCAGGTGAAGAACTTACGTGAGCAGTTAGATTTGGCTGACTGCTTCTCCCAGCAGATGTCAGGGTAGTTTAGGTCACCCATGACAACCATATCTCTTGACTCTACGGCCTCTGAGAGCTGTCTGGAGAATTCCAGGTCTAGCTCATCCTCCTGGTGTGGAGGTCTATAGTAGACCCCCACTACCAAGTCCCTTTCCCCCGATCCCCTTGTATCCTGACCCACAGTACCTCGGTTGGCCCTCCTCTGATCCCATCTTGATTAAAGAGGATGTATATTGTTCCTTAACATGGAGAGCAACACCCCCACCTTTCTCCCCACTCTATCCCATCTGTACAACCTGTAACCCTCAATGTCTACTGCCCAACCGTGAGTAGAGTCCCACCAGGTTTCAGTAAGTCCAACCAGTTACTCCATACAAATAAGAAACCATTCTGACCTGTTGTGGTCTTTCTGAGTTCTTTGCAACTGAAGAGTTACTCTTTTTCCTTGCTCAAAAAGCAAGTGATAGCTATGAGTTGGCATATTCTGCTTTGAATCAAGAGGTATGCCTTGAGTTTAATGAGGAGTGCCTTGAGTCAAAAGGTTGAGAACCACTGCACTACAGAGTTTGTTCCAGTACCTGGGAATGAGCTGGACTCTGTGTCCCACATGATCCCCTGAATAGGTACCTAAATTTCGACCTCAGGGTTCTGGCTATTGTCTGTTTCCCATCCTGGACTGTCTATGGCAATGCTTTTGTGGAACAAAGGTTGAATTTACTGATCTCAATTTCCCTCTCTTTTCTGCAATTGCTGTCAGTCACACAGGCCATATGATAAGCATGTCAGAAAATATGATAAAATGAAGCCTTATCAGTATTATTAAGATTCCACAGACTAATCCCTCAGTGATGTGGATGTTGTGCCTTCAAACATTTTGCAAGTTCCCTTGTGTGCTTAAACATCCACCCACACTGACAGCTGCTTTTTGTTTTAGTAAGGGCACTGTATGGAGGGGAAGAAACTGTAAGATTTCACGGCTCCACGTGTGCATGTATAGTTCAGATGCCCTTATTTGAAATGGTAGTTCCCCTCGGAGTTATTTTCCCTTTTTCCTCCATGCACTGAGCACATTAACATGGATGCATTGTTGGGCGATACTAGGTAAAACCACCGATTTAATAGACCTACACCTGTTAAAAATGCCTGTTAAAATGAGAGTAGAGTAATGGAGTGGTGAATCCAGTCAAAACTGCACATTTATATTGTCCCATTACACACGCAATTACTAGTTACAAAAACAACAGTTTCACTTGTGAACTGATTCGATGTATCTATCTCCTCATTAGTCACCTAAAAATAAAAGTTGAAGGAAGAAATAGCAACAATCTCAAAATTTCTGGTGTCTGTGCCATATCATTCTTAACGTGTTTTTCAGGTTGAACAACAGCCTGTCTTCAAGTAAATACCCTTCTCTTTGTGAATAGCATGGTATAGAATGAAATCAAAGAGGATTTCTAAAATCTCATATGATTTTGACAATTTGTGTTTACTTTTGCATATTTCAGCTTAGAGACAGTGGAAGTAGATTTTTCACCTTCACTTTTGTTTCTGATTGGGAAATTCACTGTGAACTGTTCTTGCATGTTTACCTTCTGCTTCAATATTTAAGGTCCTAATCTTGCAAACTGCCCCCAGTGCCAGGCTGACTTCAGCAGAGCTCTGTGTAAGCACAGGTGCTTGTAAGAGCATGACCTAATTCACAAACACTAGGGAAAAGTTTAAAAAGTTCATTGGAATTTTTTTAATAAACATGTTGTGGAAACATTTCAGTATTCGTCTTGGACTCTGTAAGTGCCGATATTTACTAAAGGTAAATTTGAAATTAAATTTTGCCTTAAATGGCCACATCCCTGGATGCCACTCCTCTAGGCATTTACACTCTCACTAAACTTTATTATATAGAAATACAGGAGCCTTGCATATGAGAAAAGGATCATTTGTATCACTGAGTACAGTTCCCCTAAATCACAGGCAACCATTTAACAGCTATTAAGTCCAGGAGAGTCCAGAAGAACATTTATTCCAGCCTTCTTACCCACCCACAACAGAAGCTACAAAACACCTTCCAACATCTTATAACCAGAGGAAAACTTTTAGTACAAAAGACCTGAAGCCTCAAAGGTTATCATGCACCCTAGAAAGAGAGCAAGAGCAGGCCCTGCCAAGGCATTGGTCTGAATTTGTTAGGTGAAATATGTCCAGGTGATCCTAAGTGGTGGAATATACTCCACACCACCAAAGCAGGCAAAAAACCAACATCAGTCCCTACTAATCTAACATGAGAGAAAACTAATTCCTAACTCTTAAGTGTATTAGCTGGGCACCTGAGAGGTTTCTTGGTGCCAATCAGAGCAACCTACCGTCTCTAGCTGTGGCTAACCTAATCCTAGATGCTTCAGAGGAAAATTTAAAATAAAATAAAACAAACAAAAAGGAACCAGAAACCAATTTAAGAATGCAGATAACCATCAAAAAGTGTGAACTACAGGATTAATTAAATGCAGCATAAATATTGTCTGACAAGTGTTGTAAGCATACTGACAGCTCCAAAGAGAGGGATGAACAGAAAGGATCATCACAACTACCTGGCCCAGCCTTCCTCACTTGTGCACACAAGCCAAAGAACATCCTACAGTCTAAAGACTAGAGCATGTCTGTGAAAAGTCATCAAAATTGCTTCAAAGACCCCAATGCTCAACCTTCCATGTTACCAGAAAACTGCATCTGTAATTCGCATCAAGCTCCATGCTCCACCTCTGGATTCTGCTCTGCATTATCAGCAAGCTCAGGAAACCATCATTCAACACCAGTCCCACATGCGAAGAACTACATGCAGCAATTGCATCTCCTTTGAACCCTCTCTTAGGGATACCAGTGAATCGAAGTCTGGTATCACAAGGTTTAATTTCCAACTCCAGAAGTTTCCCAGGTTCTGTCATGAAACAATTTAGGGTCCTTGCCTCCACTACACTGGCTGGGTTGTTTCTCTTTTTTGATATGTGAATTTTTTTTTTCTGATTTCTCTCTAAAAGTATTCTTGACCAATTTATTCCTATTAGGTTTTGTAGCAGCATTATCCTTTATAGTAGATAGCTGTTCTCTTTCCCTGGAATGCACTTGCATTCCATGTATACATAGAGTAATCACATGTCCTATTAACCTGCATTTTGCAAAGTTAAAAAAGCCAAGCTCTTTTAATATCCTCTTATAAAAAAAAGTTATCCATTTCTTCATTACTGGGAGAATTTGAGCACACATAATCAGGACTGTACCCAAAATTGTAAATGTCTTCATCAATGCCTTGTACAGAGTTTCTGGCTAAATTTACTTTAACCGATCTTTTCTAGGAATTAGCTTTTCTCACAGCAACATCACACTGGTGGCTCATGGTCATTTTATACTCAACCAATAGACCCAGATCCTTCTTCTCCTCTGTTGCCACAAATTTATGAGCCCCCAAATTCTATCAAAAGTTATCCATATTAGTCCCTTAGGCATGACTTTGCAGTTTGTACCATTTAATATCCTCCTGCTTCTATTGCTCCACTCTACAGTATCATCTAATGCAAGAGTTCTCAACCTTTTTCTTTTCGAGCCCCACCCTCCTTAGCATGCTGTAAGAACTCCATGGCCATGTGCAGGAGAGGAGTGGCCTGGATTCCTGGCTCCATATGCACAGCACCTGGTACAGTGGGTGGGGATCCCCGGGGTGGAGAGCAGCAGGAGCACAGAGCCTTGCTCATCCAGCCACATTACCACCCACAAGATGGAGCCTCCCCACAGATGGCAGCAGAGGGGCTGGCTGGGGCATGAAGGTCAGGTTTCTGCCCTGCAGGCTTCCTCCTCATGGCTGGATTGAAATTGCACCCTGTGGTCACTGTCTATACATGTGTTTACTATAGGATAGTACTTGTCCCCTACAGCCCTATGCTACATACCATAAAGTAAATTAGCTTACTGCACCCTAATTCCAGCACACATGTAGATGGTGATATTTTAATGTGGAGCTAATTAGTCAACTCAGCAGTAAAGCGCGCATGTAGATATGCCCTATACGTACCAAGGTCACCAGGGACAGTAGTAAACAGGATGAATTTCAAGACAGATACCTGGAGTAATATCAGTGGTAACTTCTCCATCCTCATGACTCCCTTTTCAATATAACTCACTGCAATTTCTCCATTACAGAGATCTGTACAGGAATAGATGATAGGTAGATCTCTGTATAGATAGATCTATATATACATAGAGCTGTGGAGAGATAGATTTGTATAGGAATAGATGATAGATCTGTATATAGCTAGAGAGCTGTGGAGACAGAAATCTGTATATAGATAGATCTGCAGAGTTAGATTTGTATGTAGATCTGTATAGGGAGAGAGAAATACAGGTGGATTTGTAGATAGATAAATCTGTATATACCGGTGACAGGTCTGTATACAGATCTGCAGGTAGGCCTAGAGATAGATGTGTAGAGAGGCAGAGATATACAAAGACAGATCAGTGGATAGATGACAGATCTGTAAATGGAGATCTCTCTCTCTCTCCAGACCTCTCTATATCACCAGACCTACCTACCTGTCTACATGCAGACCTAGCTGTAACTACCTCCGCACAGACCCATCTCTGCACCCACAGACCTCTTCCCCGCCCCGCCCGCGCTGAGCACGGGGGAGGCACCCGGGCGGCGCAAGAGTCGGCTGCAACGGGTCCTAGCAGCTCGATACAGCAGGGACATTTTTCAAGGGACTTTGAAATAAAAAACAAAAAAAACACCCCAAACCCACTTTCCTAATAGGAGCGTTTTTCCCAGCCTGCTACCGCTTTTTTTT